GATCTCTTGACCTCATGATCCACCCGCCTCCGCCTCCCAAAGTGCTGAGATTACAGGCTTGAGCCACCGTGCCCGGCCTGCACTCCCTACTCTTTAGCAATCGATCCTCTACCCGCTTCTTTTCCCAGCCCTGGGCAACCACTGATCTCCTCTCTGTCTAAAGCTTGCCTATTCTGGACATTTCGTATCCACGGAATCATATTTGTGGTGTTTTGTGTCTGGTTGCTTTCACTTAGCATAATGTTCTCAAGGTTCCTCCATGTTGTTAATTAGTACTTCATTCTTCATTCCTTTGTGGGTTTTTTTTTTTTTTTTTTTTTTTAGATGGAGTCTTGCTCTGTTGCCAGGCTGGAGTGCAATGGCGCGATCTCAGCTCACTGCAACCTCCGCCTGCCGAGTTCAAGCAATTCTCCTGCCTCAGCCTCCTGAGTAGCTGGGGTTACAAGCACGGGCCACCATATCCAGCTAATTTTTGTATTTTTAGTAGAGACGGGGTTTTGCCATGTTGGTCAGGATGGTCATAATCTCCTGACCTCGTGATCCACCCTCCTCAGCCTCCCAAAGTGCTGGGATTACAGGCGTGAGCCAATGCGCATGGCCCTTCATTCCTTTTTATTGCTGAACAGGCTTCCATCGTGTGGACAGGCCACATTTTGTTTGTCCATCCATCAGCTTTCCATCACAGTCCCTGCACACACCATGACTTGTATGTCTCTGCAGAGCAAAGTCCCTTTCTACTCTTCCCCATTCCCGCATATGTACCCTGTAAGAACTAGTCCTCCTCCACCAGGAAGTCTTCATAGATACTTGGTTGGTTCTTCTCCGCTTTCATAGAACTCCATGAGGGCAGTTATCACACAGCACCATCATTATCTGTTTTCTCTGTCCTTCGATGGACTCCTTGTCTTTGCTTATCTTCTTTTAGTCTACATACTTTGTGGTGCTCCAAAAGACCAATAAAGAATATGGTACAATCAATGCTCAATACATGTTTGTTGAATGAATCTCTCTCTCAAAACACTGTGCTAGATTCACCCAAGTATGACAGTCCTAAATATAACATAGTGGCAAAAATCCAGTGAAATCTTATGTCCAGGTCCAAAGAATACATTCATTTTAAAATGCACACACTTTTTTTTCTTTGAGACGGAGTTTCGCTCTTGTTAACCAGGCTCTCACTGCAACCTCCGCCTCCTGGGTTCAGGCAATTCTCCTGCCTCAGCCTCCTGAGTAGCTGGGATTACAGGCACGCACTACCATGCCCAGCTAATTTTTTGTATTTTAGTAGAGACAGGGTTTCACCATGTTGACCAGGATGGTCTCGATCTCTTGACCTCGTGATCCACCCGCCTCGGCCTCCCAAAGTGCTGGGATTACAGGCTTGAGCCACCACACCCGGCCGCACACACATTTTGAAAAGCAGCTTGCGGCTGGGCGTGGTGGCTCATGCCTGTAATCCAAGCACTTTGGAGGCCACGGCGGGCAGATCTCCTGAGGTTGGGAGTTCAAGACCAGCCTGAATAACAAGGTGAAACCCCGTCTTAAAAGAAAAAAAAAAGAAAAAAAAGCAGCTTGCTTCTACCTTAGCAATTCACAAAGCCATCAACTACTCCCTCCTAATTTCACTGAGCTCTCTGTACATCACTGAATCTAGAAATCTCTTCATGATTGACATGAAAGCTTTTCATTATAACCCTTTCCTGATCTATTCCTCATCTTCCCAAGTTCAATCAACTGCCTCTGCCTGATGCCTGTTTCCTGCCTTTTCTTCCCACTAAGTTCCAGTAGCCATTTTGTTCAACTCATAGAGAGGCTAATATAAAATGAGACCCTCCCCAAACTTAAATGTAACTTCTTTTTTTTTTTTTTTTTTTTGAGATGGAGTCTTGCTCTTTCTCCCAGGCTGGAGAGTGTAGTGGTGGCACGATCTTGGCTCACTGCAACCTCCACCTCCCAGGTTCAAGCCATTCTCCTGCCTCAGCCTCCTGAGTAGTTGAGATTACAGGCGACTGCCACCACGTCCAGCTAATATTTTATATTTTTAGTGGAGATGGGGTTTCACTATGTTGGCCAAGCTGATCTCGAACTCCTGGCCTCATGATCCATCTGCCTCAGCCTCCCAAAGTGCTGGGATTACAGGCGCGAGCCACTGCGTCCGGCCTAAGTATAACTTCTATAAAAAAACAAACTAGGAAAAAATTCCAGTAGATGCCAGTCTTCTATCGAAAAAGAAAATGTGGCTATGAAATAACTGACACCTAATAAAAGCTACTTACTAGTCACTCCTTTGGAAGAGGGCTGTCCTCACTCCATCTTTCCCACCACTGGTTTTCCAAGTCAGTCCTGAAAATACAAGTTCTGTGTCCCCTGTATCTGCATTTAGTTCTCCCTTTGAAAGCTCAAAGGACAGACCATGATCTCCCTGAGGCAGTGACCAGGTCTGTCTGGTTCACCACAGCACTGCTAGAGCCAGCCTGGCACAGTGACTGGCACACAATGGAGGCCAAAAAACCACCAATATGGGACATAAGTCAGGTTAATAACAACAACAAACCAAGGTCAGAGGTTTATCAAGGTACATTAAAGCCGGGTGTGAGAAAACACAAAGCCTTGCCACTTAAAAGACCAGGAATCGCTGGTGATCCCACAAGGAGCTACAGTGGCTTCATTCCCAGATTCTGCCTATGCCTGGGATTTGGGTTTGGGGATTTCCCAGAACTCTCCTTCTGTTTACAAGACCTTGGCTACAAGGAGGCAGTCAACAAGTGCAATTGATCACTCCAGTAGATGAGAAAATGATGCACCCAGGCTCGTATCCCACATTCTGACAACAAATGAAATATAAGTCACAAAATTCCTGAACCCCAGTGAGAAAGAGAGGAAGAAAAAAGTGCACGGAAGAGAAATGGAAGTAGGGATGGGAAAACTAAAGTCATGAGAAGTCAGAGACGTATCAGAAGGGACGAGAGGGCGAGCAGGCAGGCTAGCACAGATGACAGCAGGGCTCCCCTTTACCGGAAAGTACAGCGGCAGGCACCGTCCTTAACTTTACACGCACTGACCCATTTAATCCTCTCACCAAGCCAGAAGTAGCAACTATTCTGATCTCCATGCCACTGGTGATGAAACCGGAGCGCAGTGAGGTAGGGCACTAGCCCCAGCACAGAGCTAGGAAGGGGCCCGCTGTGACCTGCCGGGTGTGACTCCAGGGCACCCCATCCTTTAACCCTTACTACCTATTCTGCCTCCCAGGGCTTCAAATAGGATTGGGAAAGGAGTCATTGGCTTATCCATTCATCGAACACTGAACACCTACTGGGTGAGTGTCAAGGCCTGCGGCCAGGCGCCGGTGGGTGGATGTAAGGGATGGGAGCTGAGAGTGGGGGACAGAACGCGACGTCAATCCTAAGGCGAAGGAGCAGAGCCCGCGGCCAGCCGGGATGCAGGGTGGGGCCGAGGGCGTGGGACGCGCGGCGGAGGCTCGAGGAGGGGCGGGCTGCCCCTGCTCCCCGCTGCGGACCGCCGGCTTCTGCGGGCGGGCTTCTGCAGGCGCTCCGTGTGTGGTGGCATTTAGCGTCCGCCACTCCGCGCGGGCGAGACGGGGCGGGGGAGACGGGGCGGACGGGCATGGAGACCCTGCGGGGCTGAGGCGAGGGAAGAGGAGGGGGCGCGGGGCCAGGCGTCGGGGGCGTCGGGGCCGCCTGCGGCGTCGCCGGACTCACCTCCCGCGGCAGCCCCTCCGGACTCGTCGGCCCAGCCGGGCCGGAGGAGGCAGGGATGGACTCCGGGCCGCGGGGGCTGCCGGGAGCCCGTTCCCTGGGCAACCGGGCAGGCACCGCGGCCGGCACCGGAGAGCGGCAGCTGGCTCCGCCAGGGGCTAGAGCGGCAAAGCCACAAGTGGCAGCGGGCGGGGCGGACGTGACGCAAACGCGCTTCCGGCGGGAGTGGGCGGTGCTTTGCGTCTCTTTCGAGGGATGTCTGCGAGCCGCCTGGAAGGTGCGTTAGATGGGTCTGTTTTCCGGGGCGGGGAGGCAGTGATTGTTACTGCTTGGGCCTGCTGCAGGTTTGGCCAGAAGCTCAGGAGCTCCCGGGATTAAATGGGATTAAATGGGGGCCCGTGCCTTGCCCCAGCCTAGCCCGCAAGCCCGGTGCAGCCTTTGCGGGCTGGCTCGGGAGGAAGTTTGGCCGAGGCTCCGTTTTTTCGCAAGTGGAATGACAGATGAACGGAATTATACGCAAAGGAGTGTCAGCAAGTCAGACACTCCCAAATTGTAATTATCGTCACTATAAATTAGCACTAACGGAGCTCACTGGGTGGCAAGCCTTGCATGCTCAGCTCCTCCAGAAACCCCTCTCTGAACTCCCCTCTGTCAGAACATTCTGCTTTTAATTAAAGCGGGCTTTCGGTGAGTGCTCATCTGCTGAGTACTGGTCCGAGTACTTTAAGTGGATCAGCTCATTTGAACCTCACAGTCGTCCCATGAAGTAATGTCAACCCCATTTTGCAAATGGAGAGTCGAGGCTCAGAGGGGATAAGTAACTTAGCCACTGTGCTCTCACCCCGCCCTGTTCTGTGACGCTGATGACTGGTCTGTCTTTACTAGCCCTTGAGTTTCTTTTTTTCTTTGTTTTTTTAAGACGGGGTTTCACCATGTTGGTCAGGCTGGTCATGAACTCCCGACCTCAGGTGATTCGCCCGCCTTGGCCTCCAAAGTGCTTGGATTACAGGCGTGAGCCACCACGCCCCACCGTCCTTGAGTCTCCTGAAGTCAGTTATGGTTTTGGTTCCTAAATATGTGCCCGTTATGGGTCAGGCTGACCACGAATCAGATGTGATCCTGCCTTCAGAATCTGCTGTTGGGGGAGAGAAACTCTTAGGCAGTTATAGAACAGGTGATAAGAGCTATTCCTCCATTTACCTCATTTTATGCAAAGCCTCCTATGTGTGGAAGGTTTGAGAGAAAACAAGACATAGTTCCTAACCTAGTGGAATTTCCAGTTTAGCAGGGAATATAGATATTAAGCAAGTACACTGCACTGGTGAGTATCATGATAGCAGAATTATAGGATGTTCCAGATGTCTAGCAGTGAGTCCTAACCACCCTGCAGGATGCAGGAATACTTCTCTGTGCAAATGACTTTTTAAAAACCTAAATCAGATAATTTCACTGTCCTACCCAGAGCTCATTGCTTACTCTCCATTGTATTACGTTGGTAACTGAGGTTTCGGCCATTAAAAGTAATGGCCGAAACCTCAGTTACTTTTGTACCAACCTAATTCTTAGAATAAGCCCAGACTTCTTATCTTGGCCGGTTAGGTTGTAGTTGTCTGATCACCTCCTCACCCACTGGTCCTTTTCTGTCCACTTCATTCTAGCACACTGTTTTGTTTTGTTTGTTTCTGTTTTTTGAACTCACTAAGCTCATTCTCATATTAGGACACATACTACTGGCCTACCCTTTTTCTGGTTTCTCATGATTCAGATCTCAGCCTAAATGACACCTTCTCAAGGGGTCACACTAACACAAGGCCCTATTTTATTTTTCTCACACACTTACCATGATCTGAACTGATCGTGGTCATTTAATTGTTTATTATCTGCCTCCCCTTTGGAAAGTAAGTTCTATAAAAACTGTCCTGATCTGTCCCGTTCAGTCACTTCATTCCCCCATGCCTGGCATATTATAGGCAGTAAGCAAATATTTGTTAGTTATTTAAGTAAAGAATGAATGATAAATCAATATGATATTTAAAAGTGAGGATACTAAGTATGAGGCAGGGGAGTGAGGACACACACAGATAGGAACTTGGTCAGGTCAAAGTCAGAACTTGTACAGAGCCAGCTCTGAGTCACAGAGGGCAAGTGGGAAAGGGTGAACCTGAAGTGGTGGGCAGAACTTGGATAGTAGAGGCCCTTGAGCTAACAGGTGAGATACTGGGTTTTTGACATGCGCCAGGCCCTCACAGCTTCACATATATTACCTAATCTCAGCAATCCTGTGAAGTAGATAATATTTTTATCCCCCAGATGAAACCGTTGAGGCTCTGAGAGGTACATTAACTTGCCCAAGATCTCACAGCTGTCATAGCTGGGATTCAGACGCAGGCACTGTGGTCTCCTGACTTGAGATGACAAACCATCCAGCTGTTGTGTGTCTTGGATTCCTCAAGGGGACTTTATCCTGTGGGCTGTGAGAAGCCTTTGCAGGGTTCAGAGTAGAGAAGGCAAGAGGGCATGAGAGGGCTGGGGAAGAACAAACAACCTGAGTTGGCTCTTGGTGGTCTGGGGGTTGCCTCCCACAGGCAGTGGGATCTGGGTGCATCTGGGAGCATGGGTGTCAAGAGGCTGAGGAAGGAAGGCGTTTTCCTGCAGAGAGAACCGTGCAAACCTTAGCAGGCACCTCAGCTGTTTAAGAGCTGCCAGTAGTTCATTTTCACTGGAAACTGACGGTGGGGGCAGTGTGTGGGTTGATGTACATGCTGATGAGGAGGGGTAGCTAGGTCTGGAAGGATTTTGGATTTCTGAGTTCCAAGCAGGGCAGTGGCAGCATGGTGATCAACACTGCATCTCTGTTGTCTCGGTGTCGTGAAACGGTGAGCACTCATGAGCCACGCCACTCTGAACAAATGTAAAGTATCAGAGTGCCTGAGACTGGATAGTGGAAGTACTTGGGAGCGAGGGCTAGATTATCCTGTAGGGAAGGTAACGTGAGCCATTGGAGAGTTTTAGCAGAAAGTCACAACTTTACCTTATTTCCAATCTTTGGGGAAAAAAAGCGCTTAAGGTAAAAACTTTGTGGAGCCATTAAGCTGGAAAAGGATTCAGCTATACCTGGTTAATCTTAAAATGTTAAAAATATTCTCTGTTGTCTTCTTCCAGGAACGTTCACATTTATTCAGACTTTGTAGTTTCCACATTTGTTTGTTCACTTGATACAACGTTTTAGATAGTTTTACTATTGAAAATTATGAGGGCATTTGCCCTCCAACTATGATTGTGTATTCCATGGTAATAATTTTGTTTCTTTTACACCCTATCAGCAAAGACTGTTGGAATTGTAACACCCAGAAAACCTGTCTTATCTGTCAGTGCAAGAAAAATTAAGGACAATGCGGCTGATTGGCACAATTTAATCCTGAAGTGGGAAACCCTCAATGATGCAGGTTTTACCACTGCGAATAATATTGCCAACTTGAAAATCAGTTTATTGTAAGTACATACAGGTTGTTCATGCTCTTAAGTTTTTCACCCTTAATAACTGGTGAAAAGTTTCAGGGGAGTCTTTATATTTTATTTTTTGTTTTTGGTGACAGAGTCTCACTCTCTCCCCCAGGCTGGAGTGCAGTGGCACGATCTCAGCTCACTGCAAACTCCACCTCCCAGGTTCAAGTGATTCTCCTGCCTCAGCCTCCCAAGTAGCTGGGATTACAGGGGCCTGCCACCACACGCAGCTAATTTTTGTATTTTTAGTAGAGACATGGTTTTGCCATGTTAGCCAGGCTGGTCTCAAACTCCTGACCTCAGGTAATCCTCCCACCTTGGCCTTCCTAAGTGCTGGGATTACAGGCATGAGCCACCGCACCCAGCCATGTCTCGCTTTCTTTCAAGGTGGATGCATCCATGTAATGTAGAGCCATTATTCTGGTTCTGTTCTTTCTCATTGCTGTTTAATAGTGTTTTACCCACAGTAGACCTCTCAAACTCTGCCACTGGTTTATCAACTAAGTTATTTTATATTCTTAATCTTTTGTTGTCATTTCAACAGTGTGCACAGCATCTTCCCCAGGAAGAGATTCCATCTCAGGAAACCACCTTCTTTGCTCATCCATAAAAAGCAACTCCTCATCTGTTCAAGTTTCTCATGAGGTTATAGCAATTCAGTCCCACCTTCAGACCCCACAGCTTGTTCTAGCTCTCTTGCTGCTTCCACTGGCAGAGTCGATTCAGCATCATTCTTATGGGCCCTAGGATTTTGAGAATGGTAAATGTGCATTCACCTTAAAGTCACTAACTGCAATTTACCCTAACAAGAGGGTCAGCCTGTCCCTTGAAGCTTTGAAGTCTGTCATTGGCTTCTCTCTAGTTGTGAATGTCTTGAATGGCATGTTTTAATAGAAGGCTGTTTCAGCTACATTGAAAATCTGTTGTATAGTGTAGCCACCTTCATAATTGATCTTTGCTAGACCTGGGTAACTTGCCGTGGCTTCTGCATTAGCACTTGCAGCTTTTATGTTACGGAGATGGCTTTTGCCCTAAACCTCATGAAGCAAATCCTGCTAGTCTCAAACTTTTCTTCAGTAACTTCCTCATGTCTCTCAGCCTTCATAGAATTGAAGAGGGTTAGGGCCCTGCTCTGGATTAGGCTTTCACCTAAGGGAATGTTGTGTTTGGTTTGATCTTCTATCCAGAACACTCAGACTGTCTCCATGTCCGCACTAAGGCTGTTTCACTCATGATTCACATGTCCACTGGAGGAGCACCTTTAATTTCCTTCAGTAACTTTTCCTTTGCATTCACGTGGCCAACTGTTTGGCACAAGGGGCCTAGCTTTCAGCTTATCTCAGCTTCTGATATGCCTTCCTCACTAAGCTTAATCATTTCTGGCTTTTAATTTTTTTATTTCTTAAATTGACCAAAGTATAGCTTTTGATTGAAAATGAGAGATATGCAACTCTTCCTTTCACTTGAACACTTAGAGGTCATTGTGGGGCTATTAACTGGCCTGATCTCAATGTCCTTCTACTTCAGGGAATAGGGAGGCCCGAGGAGAGGGAGAGAAATGGGAGCAGCCAGTCAGTGGAGCAGTCAGAACACACAACATTCATTCATTCGGCTCAGTGTTATATATGAGCATGGTTCATGGCACCTCAAAACAATTACACTAGTGATATCAAAGTTTACCAGTCACAGATCATAGATATAACAATAATGAAAAAGTGTGAAATATTGTAAGAATTGCCAAAATAAGACACAGAGACATGAAGTAAGCACATGCTGTTGGCAAAATGACGCTGATTGACTTGCTCTACACAGGGTTGCCACAAACCTTCAGTTTGTAAAAAATGCATTATCTGTGAAATTCTAAGTGAAGCACAATCAAGTGAGGCATGCTTGACTTCCTGGATTGTGAACTCTTTGAGGAAATGATCCATGTCTTATTCATCTTTGTACGTCCAGTACCATGCCCTATGCCAGGGATTCCACACAGCTGAATGTTTTTTGTTTTTTGTGTTTGTGTGTGTGTGTGTGAGACAGTCTTGCTCTGTCGCACAGGCTGACTGCAGTGGTGTGATAACAGCTCACTGCAGCCTTGACTTCCTGTGCTTACGTGATCCTCCCACCTCAGCCTCCTAAGTGGCTGGGACCACATGCATGTGCCATATTGCACAGCTATTTTCACTTCTGATTTTTGTGGAGATGAGGTCTCACTGTGTTGTCCAGGCTGGACTAAAACTGCTGAACTCAAGCAGTCCTCCCATGTCTACCCCACTAAGTGTTGGGCTTATAGGCATGAGCCACCAAAACCAGCTGTCACGTGGCTGAATTTAACTGACTTATTTTGGTGCAAAATTGAGTGGCCATTGGACATCTTCTTTGAACATATAAATAATAACTAAATTTGGCCAGGCGCGGTTGCTCACACCTGTAATCCCAGCACTTTGGGAGGCCGAGGTGGGTGGATCATGAGATCAGGAGATTGAGGACCATCCTGGCCAACATGGTGAAATCCTGTCTCTACTAAAAATACAAAAATTAGCCGGGCGCGGTGGCTCAAGCCTGTAATCCCAGCACTTTGGGAGGCCGAGGCAGGTGGATCATGAGGTCAAGAGATCGAGACCATCCTGGTCAACATGGTGAAACCCCGTCTCTACTGAAAAAATACAAAACACTAGCTGGGCATGGTGGCGCGTGCCTGTAATCCCAGCTACTCGGGAGGCTGAGGCAGGAGAATTGCCTGAACCCAGGAGGCGGAGGTTGCGGTGAGCCGAGATTGCGCCATTGCACTCCAGCCTGGGTAACATGAGTAAAACTCCGTCTCAAAAAAAAAAAGAATGAAGAAAAGGAAACAGGGCCTCAGAGAAATGAGAGACATCATTAAGTGCATCGACATATATGTAATGGTAGTACCAGAAGGAGAGGGTAGAGAAAGGAACAGGAAAAAAATACTTAAAGAAATAGTGGCTGAAAACTTCCCAGATTTGATGAGAAACATTCATCTAAACATTCAAGAAGCTCAACAAATTCCAGGTAGGACAAACTCAGCCAGGTGCAGTCACTCACACTTAGAATCCCAGCACTTTGGGAGGCTGAGGCAGGTGTATCACTTGAGACCAGGAGTGCAACCATCCTGGTCAACATGGTGAAACCCCGTCTCTACTAAAAATACAAAAAATTAGCTGGGCATGGTGGTGCGTGCCTGTAATCCCAGCTACTCAGGAGGCTGAGGCAGGAGAATTGCCTGAACCCAGGAGGCGGAGGTTGCGGTGAGCCGAGATCACACCATTGCACTCCAGCCTGGGTAACAAGAGTGAAACTCCGTCTCAAAAAAAAAAAAATACAAAAATTAGGCATGGTGGTGTGTGCCTGTAAACCCAGCTACTCAGGAGGCTGAGGCAGGAGAACTGCTTGAACTGGGACGCAGAGGCTGCAGTGAGCTCAGATCATGCCACTGCACTCCAGCCTGGGTGACAGAGCCAGACTATGTCTCAAATAATAATAATAATAATAACTAAATTTGTATCATAATGGCATGAAAGAACAATGCTTATGCAAAATATCCCACGTAACTATGCAGATATAGAGGACTGTAGAATTTATTAGGAAATAAGGCAAGCTTAAAAAGTATATTTTGTACACCGTATTTTCTATTTTGTCCAGGAATAAAGATAAGATAGAACTAGAGAGCAGCAGCCCAGCCTCGAAGGAAAATGAAGGAAAGGTGTATGTGGAATATAACGAGGAACTGGAGAAGCTGTGTGAGGAACTGCAGGCCACCTTGGATGGTTTGGTAAGACATAAAGATGCAGGCCACTCACAGTCACTGTCACTGAATCTGATGGATGTATTTGGGGTTCGCTTGACCATTGGCCATTCTTTCCTTTTTCTCACTTCCTCTAATGTTCTCTTCCTCTGCCTACTGCATAAGTCTTAGTGTTCCCCTTAGACACTCGCTAAGATTAGAATGATGCTAATGTTCTAATCTTAGACATTCACTCCTCCTGAGCATCATCCGGGGAAATTTCACCCACTTTCAGGGCTCATCACTTAGTAAATTTTTTTGGTTAGGGGGGAGATGGAGTCGTGCTTTGTCACCCAGGCTGGAGTGCAATGGCACGATCTCGGCTCACCCCCAACTTCTGCCTCCTGGGCTCAAGTGATTCCCCTGTCTCAGCCCCCCGATTTCACCATATTAGTCAGGCGGGTCTCAAACTCCTGTCCTCAGGTGCTCCACCTGCCTTGGCCTCCCAAAGGGCTGGGATTACAGGCAGTGCCTGGTCACGGAGTAAATATTTTAGGCTTCTGAGGCCAGCCAGTCTCTGTCTCAGCCACTCAACTCTGCCACATAGGACTAAACAGCCTTGTTAAATTTGTCCAAATGGTTGCGGTTTTTTTTAAAAAACTTTTTTTTTTGTTTTGGATTTTTTTTTTTTTTTTTTTTTTTTTTTTTTGATGAAGCGTCACTCTGTCACCCAGACTGGAGTACAGTAGTGCGGTCTCGGCTTACTGCAACCTCCGCCTCTTGGGTTCAAGTGATTCTCCTGCCTTAGCCTCCCAAGTACCTGGGATTACAAGCTCACGCCACTATGCCCAGCTAATTTTTGTATTTTCAGTAGAGATGGGGTTTCACCATGTTGACCAGGCTGATCTCGAACTCCTGACCTCAAGTGATTGGCCTGCCTCAGCCTCCCAAAGTGCTGGGATTATGGGCGTGAGCCACCACACCTAGACTTTTTTATTTTTTATTTATTTATTTATTTATTTATTTGAGACAGAATCTCACTCTGTCACCCAGGCTGGAGTGCAGTGGCAAGATCCCAGCTGACCGCAACCTCCACCTCAACCTCCTGAGTAGCTGGGATTACAGGTGCATACCACCATTCCCAGCTAATTTTTGTATTTTTAGTAGAGACAGGGTTTCACCATGTTGGCCAGGCTGGTCACGAACTCCTGACTTCAAGTGATCCGCCCACATCAGCCTCCCAGAGTGCTGGGATTACAGATGTGAGCCACCATGTTAATCCAGGAAAACTTTATCTTTGGAGGCTGAAATTTTGTATGATTTTTATGTGTCACAATCACTATTTTCCTTTTGGTTTTTTCTCAACCATTAAAAAATATAAAAACCATCTAAGCTTACGGACCATACAGAAATAGGCTATGGGCCAGAATTGACCTGTGGTCCAGGGTTAGTTTGCCCATCCCCTGATACAAGAGGTAAGAGACTAAAGTGTTTGTTTAATGAACTAATAACTAAATTTCAATACCTGCTATACTGGGCACCAGAGGTGAAGATAGCACCATTTTTCTTTGCTAGGCACAGGAAATTCGGTTTTACACATTTTTGAACTTGGATAACTGAAGCTTACCCATAAACATTTAAGATCTTTATATTTTCACCCTTTGTTTGTTTTGAGATAAGGTCTCACTCTGGAACGCAGTGGCATGATCACAGCTCACTGCAGCCTTTACTTCTTAGACTCAAGTGATCTTGCCTCAGCCTCCCAAGTGGCTGGGACTACGGACATGAACCATCATGGCCAGCTAATTTTTAAAATTCTTTTGTAGGCCAGGCGTGGTGGCTCACGCCTGTAATCCTGGCACTTTGGGAGGCCAAGGTGGGTGGATCATGAGGTCAGGAGGCCAGCCTGGCCAACATTGTGAAACCCTATCTCTACTAAAAATACAAAAAAGTAGCTGGGTGTGGTGGCAGGTGCCTGTAATCCCAGCTAGTCCGGAGGCTGAGGCAGGAGAATCACTGAACCTGGGAGGCAGGGGGGTGAGGAGGGGTGGTTGCAGTGAGCCGAGATTACGCCACTGCACTCCCAGTCTGGGCGACAGACTGAGACAACATCTCAGAAAAAAGTAGTTTGGGAATACGCTCTCATTCTATGTTCAGAACCAAAAGTTGATTTTATTATCAATCTCCTATTTTCCTCTAGCCTTTAGAGAGAATGCTTTCCAGACCTGGTCCTGTGTCTTTCATAACTTTGACCTTCTAGGGATTTGATGCGCCCTTTTCCCTCAGCTGGGCTAACGTTTCAGTGTGGTCTGTGTGGGAAGAAGCCTCCAGGGTTGAAATGTAAGGGGCTGCTGTTTGTGCACTGTTCGTTCAGGGCCGCACATGCCTATGTGACTTTAATTCTTTATTGATGGCTGAGCTACAGAATTGAGCATGACTTCTAGCCTGGGGTCAAGGCTCCAGAATTTTCCTTATTCTCCTGTTCTTTATCAGCTTTTCTTAGATTCAGGTGGCACCAGGGAGCTGCTACAGGCCTCAGAGGAAAGAGCAGAGGATTGGATGTTAAAACTGGGTGTCAGAAGGCATGGTATCGAGTTCTGGCCTCATCCCTCCTCAGCTCAACCTTCAGCAGTTTCCCAGCTGTGAAACGGAAATGATGAGTCCTGCCTCTTGGGGCTGGGCCAAATGAAATATCAAACCTTAAAAGATTTGGGAAACAGGTAGAGTCCTTTGAAAATTGACGTTAGCGGAATTTAGTGCTTGCTACTTCTGATGTAATTGGAGGGCGGTTGGAAGGACCAAGTAAAGGAATTAAGATTTTGACAATTTATATATCTTTTCTTATCTCCCCTCACGTATGTAAAGTCATCAATACTTAGGAGTTCAAAATTTGGTCTCCGTAGACCTATGCTACTTAAATCTGAAATCCTAGTACGTCACCCATTAATTTTATTTTTCAAACCCTTATATAGCTCCAAGTAGGTGCTTCACAAATATAGACTCGCTTAACCCTCTTCACCACGCTGTGAGAGTCAGCACGTCACTGCCCCTTCTGTGCTGCCTGCTGTGTGCAGCGGATGGTTTAGTATCTCCCACAAGTGGCCGCGCACATCCTGCAGCTACCAGGCTTAGGACAGAGCCTGGCCCACACTGAGGGACCGTCAGTGACAGGCTCGCCACATTTCCTTCCTTCCTGTGTGAAGTATGTAGGGCTGCCTTTCCGTGTTGCCGTTTTATAAACAAGGATGTCAAGGAGGTTTTTTTTTTTGTGATGGTCTCGATCTGTTGCCCAGGCTGGAGTGCAATGGTGCGCTCTTGGCTCACTGCAACCTCTGCCTCTGAGGTTAAAGTGATTTTCCTGCCTCAGCCTCCCAAGTAGCTAGGATTACAGGCACGCGCCACCACACCCAGCTAATTTTTTTGTATTTTTAGTAGAGACAGGGTTTTGCCATGTTGGCCAGGCAGGTCTTAAACTCCTGACCTCGTGATCCACTCTCCTGGGCCTCCCAAAGTGTTGGAATTACAGGCGTTAGCCACTGTGCCCAGCCACTCTCACACTCCATAAAAACTGCAAGAGCTGGCCAGGTGCAGTGGCCCATGCCTGTAATCCCAGCGCTTTGGGTGGCTGAGGCAAGAGGATCGCTTGAGCCCAGGAGTAAGACACCAGCCTGGGTAACATAACAAGACCCTGTCTCTACAAATTAAAAAAAATTAGCTGGGCATGGTGGTGCAAGGAACATGAGCCATGATTATGCCGCTGCTCTACAGCTTGGGCAACAGAATGAGACCCTGTCTCAAAAAAAAAAAAAAGTAAGAGCCTGCCTTGGGATTCCTCCAGGTCTTTGGGGCTAAACCATTAGTGCTCTTTGGAAATCCTAGTGAAATGGGACTCGGAAACCTTTCTTGCTCTAGGACTGGAAATCTGGGGTTTATTTTCAAAGTAATTCAAATTAATGAAATCATAGCAACTGCCTACCTCCATCTCCCTGGGAATTTGCTGTACATAGAGTTAACAGTGTTTAGTTATTGGAATTTTTATCACAATAGACTTATACTTCTTAGCTTTGAAATCTTATATTTATTGAATCTGAGACTGGAGATTTCAAATAATATGATCATATTTCAAATTAATATCTTTTCAGACCAAAATACAGGTGAAGATGGAAAAGCTGACTTCAACTACCAAGGGAATTTGTGAACTAGAAAATTACCATCATGGGGAGGAAAGTAAGCGACCCCCTCTGTTCCACACGTGGCCCACAACCCATTTCTGTGAGTAGTTTCTTCTCTGTTAATTTGCAGGAGGGTAGAGGTTATTAAGGGCATTTAGTATCATGTACATCTGGTACTTTAAGAAGCTGACAAGGCTTTGAAATTCAATGCAAAAGTACCTGTTGGGAGGAAAGAAGACAGAGGCATCTTAAACATTTCTTCTTGGCTTTAATTACCTATTCATCAGCAGAGTATATTAAGCATAATTAGAGACCCATGAAGCAAATTGCTGTTATTAGCCCTGCAAAACCAATGGGCAGAATGAATTCCACCTCCCCTGTGAAAGCAGAAATCTATCATTTTGAGGGGAGGAAAGGGAAGAAAGGGTTTTTTTCAGTTTGTTAAGGTTTTTCTTTTGCTTTTTGTTTTAATTAAAAAACAAATTGAGGTCCCTGCAGCCAGCCTCATGGAAGATGACTGGGAAAATGAAACCATGACTTAGTAAACTCCGTGAGATGCTTCTTCGAGGGTCACTTTTAGCTTTATTAGTTCAAGACAAGGGCTAAGCTATTTGATGTTGATCTGAGACTCACTTTTTAAATGATGCAGGAAAGGGTAAAATCACCTAGTAGAAAGTGTTTAGCGAAATATTGTCAGTTTGAGGGGAATCTCTTACTTATACTGTGGGTCACCTAAGGGTTAGGTAGAAAAGATTATATATACTTTTTTTTTGAGACAGAGTCTCGCTCTGTTACACAGGCTGGAGTGCGGTGGTGCAATCTTGGCTCACTACAGCCTCTGCGTCCCAGGCTCAAGCAATTCTTGTGCCTCAGCTTCCTAAGTAGCTGAGATTACAGGCCCATGCCACCACACCTGGCTAGTTTTTGTATTTTTTAGTAGAGACAGGATTTCACCATGTTGGTCAGGCTGGTTTTAAACTCCTGACCTCAGGTGATCCACCCACCTCTGCCTCCCAAAGTACTAGGATTATAGGTGTGGGCCACCACACCCAGCCAGTTATATACACTTTTTTTTTTTAGATGGAGTCTTGCTCTGTCACCCAGGCTGGAGTGCAGTGGCACGATCTTGGCTCACTGCAACCTCTGCCTCCCGGGTTCAAGTGATTCTCTTGCCTCAGCCTCCTGAATAGCTAGGATTACAGTTGCCTGCCACAGAGACAGGATTTCACCATGTTGGCCAGGCTGTTCTCAAACTCCTGACCTCAGGTGATCCGCCAGCCCTGGTCTCCCAAATTGCTGGAATTACAGGCCTGAGCCACCTGACCCAGCCTATGTACACTTTTTAATTTCACTCTGCTGACTATGTTATCGAATTGAACTAATCAGGACCAAGTGGTAAATTCCATCCGGCCTTTCTTCCTCTCAGTGCTGTTGCTAATTCTGGTTTTTAATCAAGAACTGTTAAAAATGTGGTCCTTCCCGAGTGAAGACTACGTTCTTGAATCACTGCCATTAGGGGAGACTCACACTTCTTTCAGATGAGGTGTCTCGCAAGCTCTCGGAGATGTACAGGAAGGAGCTGCTCCTGAAGCGCACAGTGGCTGAGGAGCTTGCACACACTGGGGATCCCGACCTCACCCTGAGCTTCCTGTCCATGTGGCTGCACCAGCCCTATGTGGAGAGCGACAGCAGGCTGCACCTGGAGAGCATGCTGCTGGAGACGGGCCACCGAGCTCTGTGACCTCCTGAGATGGCAGTGGACACTGGCTCCTTCCACATCTCCCCAGGTGGACAGGCTCCTGCCTAGGACCCAGTGCCGTAGTCCTGGATCAGACCCCAGTTTCAGACCTGCTTAGGGTCTTCAGGCAAGAGCTTGTCCCCAGCCCTGTGGCCTCTCCAGGCATGCCCACAGCCCGCAGCCAGCCCCACATCATGTCACTCAGCATCCTCTGCCCCTCCTGGAAATCTGTCACTCATGGGTGCTTCTGAGTAAAATAAATGAGTTCCTGAACAGAATGAGTAAGTGATCTGGTTTATACAAAGTAGGCGTGCTTTATACATTACATTTGTGTAGAAAATCCCTGGTTTAATATTTTCACTTTATACCTATCTGATTGTTTATATGAGAATATATTAGTTTTGGGGCCAGGCACGGTGACTCACGCCTGTAATCCCAGCACTCTGGGAGGCCAAGGTAGGCGTATCACTTGAGGTCAGGAGTCCAGCTTGGCTGACATGATGAAACCCAGTCTCTACTAAAAATACAAAAATTAGCCAGGGGTGGTGGGTGGTACATGCCTGCAATCCCAGCTACTCAGGAGGCTCAGGCAACGGAATCGCTTGAACCAGGGAGGCAGAGAGTGCTGTGAGTGGAGATCACGCCGTTGCACTTCAGCCTAGGTGACAGAGCGAGACTCCATCTTAAAAAAAATAGTAAGATCCCAGAGTTAAAAGTGAAGTTTGACATCATGAAAATGAAAATAACCTATAAAAACATTGCCGCTGTTTGCACAGTAGGGCTGTGACAAGCGAGGTGAACCCTGCTCCCTCGCATTCTTCTCACGCTATCCTTGAGTTTCACAATGCTTCCAGCCACTTCCAGAGTTCACATCCTGGGTTAGAATAAGAGAAAGGTGAGCGTTTTGGAACAGACTGAAGAGACTGGGCAAAGGCGAGGGTGTGGAGAGGATGTGAAGTGTGCCAAAGTCTACTCTAAACTCTTCTCTTCTGTGGCATTACTTGTTACATGGTTTCTACATCTGTGTTTGCCTTTTTGTAAGTTCTCTGATCCCAAACTGTTTATATTCTATGGGACTGTGTATATAAGTGATACTTAATAAGTAACAGTTTTTGTTGTTTTTGAGATGGAGTCTATCTGCCGCCAGGCTGGACTGCAGTGTGCAGTGATACAATCTCGGCTCACTGCAACTTCCATCTCCTGGGTTCAAGCGATTCTCCTGCCTCAGCCTCCCAAGTAGCTGGGACCACAGGCACCCTCCACCACACCCAGCTAATTTTTGTATTTTTAGTAGAGACAAGGTTTCACCATGTTGGCCAGGACAGATCTTGATCTCTTGACCTCGTGATCTGCCCACCTCAGCCTTCCAAAGTGCTGGGATTACAGGCATGCGCCACTGAGCCCAGGCAGTCTTTATTTTTTTAAGAGATAGGATCTTACCGTGGCCCAGGTAGTATCAAACTCCTGAGATCAAGTGATCCTCCCTTCACAGCCTCCTGAGAGACTATATTCGTGCACTGCCCAGCCCAGCAATTATGTTGTTGTTACTGGTGTTGCCCAGGCTGGAATGGAGTGGCGTGATCATAACTCACTGTAATCTCAGACTCAAAATCCTGGGCTCAGGTGATCCTCCTGTCTCAGCCTTTAGAGTAGCTGGGACTATAGACGTGCATAATCACACCCGGTAAATTGTTTTTGTTTTTGTTTTTTTTTCTTTTTTAAGCTCCCACCCCCCCCAGAATTGTTTTATTTTTACTTTTTAGAGATGGGGTCTTGCTGTGTTGCCCTGGCTGGCCTTGAACTCCTCGCCTCAAGTGATCCTCCTGCCTTGGCTTACCAAAGTGCTGGGATTATAGGTGTGAGCCACTGCACCTGGCCAAGAATAGTTCTTAATTGTGTCATTTTAGTATTTAAATACTATTTATCCAAGTTTGTTTATTTATTTATTTTTGAGATGGAGTCTCACTCTTGTCGCCCAGGCTAGAGTGCAATAGTGTGATCTCGGATCACTGCAACCTCTGCCTCCTGGGCTCAAAGAATTCTCCTATCTCAGCCTTCCATGTAACTGGGATTACAGGCATGAGCCACCATGCCTGACTAATTTTTGTACTTTTAGTAGAGACAGGGTTTCACCATGTTGGTCAGGCTGGTCTTGAACTCCTGACCTCAAGTGATCCACCCGCCTTGGCCTCCCAAAGTACTGGGATTACAGGTGTGAGCCACCACACCCGGTTATTTATCCAAGTTTATTAAGACTGTTGTAACTTTATTTTTTGAGACAGAGTCTTTCACTCTGTTGCCCAGGCTGGAGTGCAGCGGTGCGATCTCTGCTCACTGCAACTTCTGTCTCCTGGGTTCAAGTGATTCTCTCCTGCCTCAGCTTCCCAAGTAGCTGGGATTACAGGGACCCACCACCATGCCTGGCTAATTTTTACAGGCAGGTGCCCACAGCCAGCTAATACTGTATTTTTAGCAGAGATGGGGTTTCACCATGTTGGTCAGGCTGGTCTTGAACTCCTGACCTCAGGTGATCCACCTGCCTTGGCCTTTCAAAGTACTGGGATTACAGGCGTGAGCCACCGCACGCAGCCAAACTATTTAAAGGCAACATTTCTAGGATTTGTTTCCTCTGCATTTGCTATATTTATTAAGGTCTGACTATCATAAAAGTAGGCACTTGGGCATCTTGCAGTCTGGAGACCACATTGTCATCCTTTGACAGGAATGGTGGTGACCCGCTACGGCTTCCCTGCATGCTGAGGAAGTGGCTACTGCAATGAGCTGCAGAGGCAGATGGGCCGGACGGGCAGGACGCCAGAGGCTCCACTCACCCAGACCTGCCTGGGAGAGGCCTTGGCATGAAGTCCACGTGCAGTCACTTTTATGTTGGGGGTACTTAAAGAACAAACGCTCTTCGGAGGATATGTTGAAGGATTTCTTATGTGCACAAGATTTCTAGGACAACTCACATGTCCCTGATGGTGCACTTCCCAGACAGCCTGCAGCAAGTTGTTCAGGAAAATATCGGAAAGGATCGATACTGCTAAGGACAATCCAAGGTAAAAGACCTAAGCGATGAACAAAAATAACGAATCTGCCAAGCAACTTCTATCTGAAGGGAACAATGGAGTAGATTGATACGGGACTTCTAGTTGAACCTGCTGGATGACTCATATGCAGTTATGCCCTCCACCTCCAAAAATCCTGCCAAATTGAATATGAAAAGCTAGAAAGCCACAAAATCAAAGAGAACAGGATTGGGGGAGGAATTCATAAGTCCCTTTTTTAAAAACCTTTAACATTTTTTTTTCTTTTTGGGACAGAATCTTGCTCTGTCACCCAGGCTGGAATGCAATGGCATATCTTGGCTCACTGCAACCTCCGCCTTCCAGGTTCAAACAATTCTTCCACCTCAGCCTCCTGAGTGGCTGGGACTACAGGCATCCACCACCACACCTCGCTAATTTTTGTATTTTTGTAGAGATGAGATTTCACCGTGTTGGCCAGGCTGGTTTTGAACTCCCGACCTTAGGTGATTCACCTGCACTGACTTCCCAAAGTGCTGGGATTACAGGCATGAGCCACCCATCCACCCTAAAAACCTTTAAAATGTATAACTTCAGGCCGGGCATGGTGGTTCATGCCTGTAATTCTAGTACTTTGGGAGGCCAAGGCAGGTGAATCACCTGAGGTCAGGAGTTCAACACTAGCCTGGCCAACATGGTGAAACCCCACTCAGCTAAAAATACAAAAATTAGTTGGATGTGGTAGCGTGCACCTGTAGTCCCAGCTACTCTGAGGTAAGAGAATCACTTGAACCCGGGAGGCAGAAGTTGCAGTACACCAAGATTGCACCACTGCACCCTATCCTTGGTGACAGGGCGAAACTCTGCCTCAAAATAAAGGCTGGGCACAGTGGCTCACGCCTGTAATCCCAGCACTTTGGGAGGCCGAGGCAGGTGTATCATGAGGTCAGGAGTTCACCAGTCAGGCCAAGATGTGAAACCCGTCTCTACTGAAAATACAAAAGTTAGCTGGGTGTGGTGGTGGGCACCTGTAATCTCTGCTACTCGGGAGGCTGAGGCAGAGAATTGCTTGAACCCGGGAGGCAGAGGCTGCAGTGAGCCGATAACGCGCCACTGCACTCCAGCCTGGGCGACGGAGTGAGACTCTGTCTCAAAAAAAATAAATTATAACTTCAGGAAACACAAAAACTAAAAAGTAATCACAATGTACCACATACAGATGTGAATAGCATTTGCATATCATAAATAATAATATGACCCCTAGGTTGGGCTTGGTGGCTCATGCCTGTAATCCCAGCACTTTGGGAGGCCAAGGCAGGTGGATTATGAGGTCAAGAGATTGAGACCATCCTGGCTAACATGGTAAAACCCTGTTTCCACTAAAATACAAAAAATTAGCCAGGCATGGCGGCACCTGTAGTCCCAGCTACTTGGAAGGCTGAGGCAAGGGAATTGCTTGAACTGAGAAAGGGAGGTTACAGTGAGTCGAGATCATACCACTGCACTCCAGCCTTAGTGACAGAGCAAGACTCCATCTCAAAAAAAAAAAAAAAAAAAAATTTGACCCCTGCCAGGTGGGATGGCTCACACCTGTAATACCAGGAGGCCAAGGTGGGCGGATCACCTGAGGTCGAGAGTTCGAGACCAGCCTGGCCAACACGGTGAAATCCCATCTCTACTAAAAATACAAAAATTTGCTGGGCATAGTAGCAGGAGCCTATAATCCCAGCTACTGAGGAGGCTGAGGCAGGAGAATTGCTTGAACCTGGGAAGAGGTTGCAGTGAGCTGAGATTGTGCCATTTTACTCCAGCCTGGGCAATAGACTGAGACTTCGTCTCAAAAAAAAAAAAAAAGGCTGGGCACGGTGGCTCACGCCTATAATCCCAGCACTTTGGAAGGCCAAGGTGGACAGATCACCTGAGGTCAGGAGTTCGAAACCAGCCTGGCCAACATGGTAAAATCCCATCTCTACTAAAAATACAAAAATTAGCTGGGCATGGTGGTGCACACCTGTAATCCCAGCTACTCAGGAGGCTGAGGCAGGAGAAGAATCCCTTGAATCCAAAAGGTGGAGGCTGCAGTGGGCCAGGATTGCAACACTGCACTCCAGCCTGGGGACAGCGAGACTCCATCTCAAAAACTAAATAAATAAAATTTAAAAAACAATAATAATAGTATGACCTGGCTAGGCATGAGGCATTATGGGCTCACACCTGTAATTCCAGCACTGGCCAAGCCAGGCAGATCACTT